GCACCAACCTTCTCGGCCATGGCTGCTATGGATAGAATTAATTAAGGCAAGCTGATTCTTAAGAAGTAGGGCGGGCGAGGGAGGGGTGTCTGGTTCCACGCATTAACAGTAGTCAATGGCACTCGTCAACGTTTGTTTTTCCACAAGTGGGTCCGTCTAATTGGACCAATCCTTTCTTTGCATGTGCTGCCTGTCAGACCTTTCACCTTCACATGTACAAAGCTAATCAATATCCTTTCCAACCGCATTCGCCTGTTGTGGCCAAATGTCCACTGCTGTCAAAAGGGAAGTCGGTAGAATATATTTTTGATCTCAAGTTTAATTTCTCTCAAGAAGAGGTATTAACTTACTAATTTAACTATTTTTTCGGTCAAAATATCCTTCCCAACCACCGTAAATAATATTAAATTATATAGCAAAATCGTAACCTACATGCAAAGATAGAGCCAGAAAACAAAATTAAGAAATAAATATAAAATTTTTTTGTATTTTTGGTTTTTTTATTAATTGAAATCTTTTATTTGAATGATAAATAATACTTCATTATGATAATATTCAAATAATAAATCAATCAATTTAAATAATTTTTTTATTTTTCCTATTTCAATATATTAAACGAAAAAGAAATTAGTGAGATTTGAATAAAGTATACTAATTAAATTCCATATGAGGTCAACAGCATAGCCACTGTAACGTGGATTTCGAGATAACAATAGCTTCATCCAATAGTAGCTTGTGCCTCTTTAACGTCCATGGATATATAATTAATACTAACCCTCCCTTTTAATTACATTTTTAGTATTTTTTTTTTTAACATATTTCTGAGGATTGGATTCGAACGTTACCTGAGAAAGGAAGACTGCATTTTAACATAGGTTTGTTGCCACTAGGCTCCGAACGCCCAAATGCAATTACAGTTTTAGTAATTAATGGTTAAAGTAATAAAAATGTAGATTAATCATCAATAATAATTCTGTTTTTAATTCCTGTATACTTCGATAAAATAAATAATATGCATTTTCCCCTTTCTATTTCCCCTTTCTTCAAGAAAAATGACTCAAAACCCAGGTAAATGCTTTATATGCCATACAAGTAATATATATATCTATAATAGTTCTCAAACATTAGAAAATATTTATTGTTGATTAAAAAGAAAATAAATTTATATGAAAATGATTGGTACATCTTTTAATTTAACATACTTTACACATTTATTAAAAAATTATAATGTTTTAAATTTGTATCAAAGACAAGAAAACTAAAAATTATAAAATTTAATAACTGAATTGATGAGTATTATGAAATGTGTTAAATTGGAATATCTACCAATCATTTTCTAAATTTGTGATGACAAAGACATCTTGCTAATTGATTTACATATAATTTTTTTCTTAAGACATGTATATATGAGAAAAATATTTTATAGGTCATCTTTTCAAAAATTTTTTAAAGGACTCATCTAAAAACTCATCTTATAATTAATATTTTTAAAAATTAACTATTAAATTAATAGTTTTATTCATATAAATTATACATGTAGATTTTTAAATTGATTTAGGAAATTTAACTAGTTTGTTAATTAACAAACTTTAACATCATTGCCAATGATATATATAAATAATTAAATAATAATCTTTTTTTATGAAAGCTTGAAATGGCGGTATTATCGCAACATTCTTCACATACGTGCTAATTCTTCCTTAAGACACTATAAGCAGCTGCTTTGTTAGAATTTAGAGGGGATTATTGCTTTCGTTAAATCTAACCATGCAGGCCTTGAGATTCATCTCTGTTATGGATTATATATTGCCAACATAATTGATTAATAAAGGTTGAGTACCTATCTACTAAACATTAATTACTTCAGCCTCCTGTGTTGCCATTCATCACAACGTATATAGCTCTCATTGATCTTGATACTTCTATATGATTGAATTTAAGCTTTTTGACTTGAAATAATCTTTGCTGGTTTTCAGCTCAACTCATCATGCTTAGCGTCAGAAATTCAATCCTGAGGCATACGAGATTGAAACAACCTATGGAACACCAACATGTTCAACAAAATGTCATATCTGAGGAGTCATTTTTATTAATTTAATTTAATTTA